GAAAGAGGAAGAAATAGAAAAAAGAGAAGGGAAAAACCTGGAAAACTGAAAAATTGATCTTTTTACTTCAGTGCAAGTTTTGCCAGAGAAAATATTAAACATTCGACCTGAATCTTCATTTATAACTGAATTTCCTTATCATTTGATGGATAAAGTGTGGGAAGAACAATTGTGCAGTGTGGGAAGCACAATTGTGCAGTATTTTTATAAATACTGCATTAAATCCAACAGAAAGCTATCTGAAGAACAATATCAGGCAAAAATCAGAGGGCAATTAATAATCTGTTTATTTTTTCTTTGAAAAGTAAACCAACATTTACTTATTGGCGCTTGCTCAGACTGTATTATGAGGGGAAGATTTGTTTGTTTATCTGTAGATGATTTGTGTGGGTCCTTTTGGTTTAAAGGAAGCAAGAAGATAATTGTTTAATATAAGAAAAGAAATGTGGATTAAGAAATTGTTTACTTCAGTGTAAATGGAAAAATGGTGATAGCGCCTGATCTTTTTATAACTTTCATTGAACTGGGAAGCTTCCCTCATGTCCAGTGAATTTAAAAGGGGATCTTTTCATATGCTTTAATACCATTCAATTATTGGGGAAGATCTCATTCTGTCCTAAAGACTAGATTGGGCACAATGATGTCTACGTACTTCCCTATATCACCCTCGGCACTGGTACCTGAAGCTTGAATTCATAAAGGGACTTATGCACTGTGATGCTCTGCACTGAAATACCTAACATTTAGGCACCTACAAAACCACAAGACCAACACTGCTATTCACAAAGCCAGCTCGCTAAGTAAGGAACCACCTAAGCTAGCTAATGGGAGATGCAGAGGACAACAAAGCAAGTGACCTCTGCCCAGCTCTCGGGGAGACAGGCACCTCCTTGCAGACAGTGCAGACTTTGGTGCCTATTTCTATTAGCAATTGACAAAGAGGGACTCTATAGTCTGGTAGCTTGGACATCCAGGGAATTTCTCTCAAGAATGAGCATGGGTACATCTATTCTATGTTTTAAAACCTGTGACAGTGAGTCCCAGAGCCTGAGCCTTCAGGCAGGGCTTGTGCCATGGTGCTAAAAATAGCAGTGCAGATGTTGCAGCTTGGGATGGTACTTGGACTCTGGAACCCAGTCTACTGCATGGGCTTCAGAGCTCAATCCTGAATGTCTACCCAGTTGGGTTTAGTGCAGCATCACAACCCTGAGTCTGTAGCCCCAAGTGCGGAAGCTCGTTGCTGTGAGTTTTAAAACGCAATGTAGATGTCCCAATAGTTGCCTGCCTCGCTCTACCCAAAGAGCTAGAAGAAGGGAAGAAGATGGTGGTGGTGCTACCCACCTTATAACTTAACCTTTTGGTTAGAGTACTCCCCTGAGAAGCAAGAGAGCCCTGTTCAAATTCTTTCTCCCCCTCTAGTATGGGGGAGGAATTGAACATTGGTGCACCTCCCAGGTGAGTGCTTTAATCTATAGGCTAAAAGTTATAAGGTGGTCAGCACCGTCACCAACTCCTCCAGCTGGATGTGGATTGGGACCCAATACAATAGGTTGCCTTTGAGTACACCTCTCAGATCAGATATTGCATGCAAATTAAGCAAGTGAACCCCTGTCATCCGCAGTCCAAGAATTGCTCTAGATCAGTGTTTTTCAACCTTTTCTTATAAAATACCCCCTTTTTTAAAAAAAAAATAAGTATCCCCAGTACCTACAGTTTTCAGACACACACATTTTTTTCTACCATTGCAACACATTTGTTTAAACAACTTAATCGTAGCTGGGCAGGTGATGAAATATTTGGGTGTAAAAAGTACAAAAATAATAAAGTGCTGTAAAACTTAGAACAAAAATTCAGTTTTCTCCAAGTTTCAGTTGTGTTGACGTACCCCCCAGACTTCTCTCGGGTACCCCTAAGGGTACTTGTATCACTGGTTGAGAAACACTGCTCTAGATCTTAGATGGGAGAAAAGTGCCTGGGCACCTAGGGGGAGGCAGCAGTGCACATGCCTAGAGGTAGAACTTGAGCACTGAGGGTATGCCTACATTACCCCCCTAGTTCGAACTAGGAGGGTAATGTAGGCATACCGCACTTGCAAATGATGCCCGGGATTTGAATTTCCCGGGCTTCATTTGCATAAGCGGGGAGCCGCCATTTTTAAAACCCCGCTCGTTCGAACCCCGTGCAGCGCGGCTACACGGGGCTTGAACTAGGTAGTTCGGACTAGGCTTCCTATTCTGAACTACCGGTACACCAGCGGGGTTTTAAAAATGGCGGCTCCCCGCTTATGCAAATGAAGCCCGGGAAATTCAAATCCCGGGCATCATTTGCAAGTGCGGTATGCCTACATTACCCTCCTAGTTCGAACTAGGAGGGTAGTGTAGACATACCCTGAGAGATGTTTTACCCAGAAAATGTAGACACTAGGGCCATGTCTACACTAGGAAACAATTTCAAAATGACTAAATTAGACTTCAGAACTCCTAATTCAACAAATTCGAACTAGCATGTCCTCACTACAGGGAAGCATCAAAATGAATCCGAGATAGGCTCTGTCAATGTGGACGCACTATCTCGGACCTAGAGCCCCAGGAAGCACTCTGGGGAACTGCAGGAGGCCTCCTGGAGGCCAAAAAGTTCCAATTAGCAGCACCGGAATGTCCATGCTACTGTTATATAGAAATTACTATTTTAGAATTGGCGTTACTTCTGATGAAAAGCATTCTGTGGCCCATTATTTCAAAATAACGAGCTTGGTAGTGGGGACACACAGCTTATAAATTCAACCTTATGGGGAGATTATTTTTTTTAAATAAGATCCTCATGTAGACCAGGGCAAAGTGAGTTTAAGCACCTGAAGGGTTCAGCTGAGCTTTGGGAATTGTAGTAGAACCTAAAACTTGCATTTAGATGCCAAGGAATCTTTGTGAGCCCACCCAGAGTGGCTTTTCAGTTTCTAAAAGTTGTAACTTAACCCTAGCAAGCATCAGACAACACTTTTCTCATGTGAGCAGCCCTTAGTCAGTGAATGCTCCTAACACAGTCATTGAGTCAGCTCACATGATATGCCAATATTTAAAGTCAGCCTGGCTGATTGAACATTTAGATATTATGAAGGGTGCTCCAGAAATGTCTGCCATCAATGGTATTTGAAACAGAAAAATTTTGTAAATTGTTGGAACTGGAAGACCTGTAAACAATAGAGAACTAAATCTATTAAACAAATTGCCATAGGATGTTCACTGCCAAAGTTTGTCTAGATTACAGCACCTCCTGCAGTTTTGGATTTGAAATACATCTGAGGGTATGTTATAAACTATGCAAGATTTCTGTACAAAACTGTCTGTTAAATGGAGAAAGAATTGATTATTGGAGAAACAGAAAATAACAAGGACTAACAATGTCTTTTCCTCTTCTTTTTCAGGAAGAACAGTTTGGAATGTACGCATTATACAGCAAGAACAAACCACAGTCAGATGCTTTGCTTACAAGCCATGGAAATGCCTTCTTTAAAGTAATTGCTATCCAGCTTCTTATTTAATGTGAATTGTATGAACATCACTCACTGCTGTGTGTTTATACAAGTAATGTTTATACATTCCTCTAATATTCCCACAGAATAAACAACGGGATTTGAGTGACAAGATGGATCTGGCTTCCTATTTACTGAAGCCTATTCAAAGAATGAGCAAATATGCTCTTCTTCTAAAAGATATGATCAAAGAGTGCACGAAGACCCAGGAGCAGGAGCTCAATGATCTCAGGGCAGCCGAAGAAATGGTGAAATTCCAGCTTCGACATGGAAATGACTTGCTTGCAATGGATGCCATTAGAGGGTGTGATGTAAGCATTTCTCAGTCCTTCCTTTCAAATATCCCTTTGGCTTTACTGCTGCAGTTTTCATTCAGAACCGGAAAGTAGTTAATGGGCAGGTTATTTATTATTGTTGTTATGCTGAAGCAAATAAGAGTCCCAGTCACGGACCAGGATTTCATGTGCCAGGTACTGTACAAATCCAGAACAAGAAGATAGTCTGTGGCCCAAAAAGGGTGCAATCTAAGTGATATTGTACCCTTCCTCCATTCTTCTTTGGACTAGACAAAATTGGCCCAGTCTTTTCTCTTCCTAAGTAGTGTGGTCATTTTCTCCAATCAGGTCAATTTGAAAGAGCAAGGACAGCTGAGGTGTCAAGATGAGTTTATTGTTTGCTGTGGAAGAAAGAAGTATTTGAGACATGTCTTCCTTTTTGAAGACCTCATCTTGTTTAGCAAAACAAAGAAGATTGACGGGGGATACGACATCTATATGTACAAACAGTCATTCAAGGTAAATTTAATCTAGCTGTAATGTTTTGGATAGCATGTACAATGCCGCCTGCCCCCTGCCCTCTGCTTAGTTTTCTGCACTGGACAGGAACCCCATCTGTTTGACAATGGTAGGTGAAGGATCACAGTTCCATTACATGGTACATTTCAAGTAGTTTACATGTGGGGGTTTTTTTAAGTTGGAAGAAATGAGAGAGACAGAAACTGATGAGTAAAATTACCCAAACATGTTTGTTTGTATAGACACTGTATCATAAATGCATGCATATCTTGCTGGAAAGGATTCCCAGAAAATCAGGTGTTTCCTGTAGACATCATTATTTTTAACATTTCTTTCATCACAACAAGAAACAGCAGAGATGTAGTCATGAACGCTCAGCCACTATTCTGACTATAGATTTGTACCTCTCTGTCTTGAAAGAGAGGTGTTTGTAGCCAGAATTTGTAACTACCCTTGGTTAGCAACACCATATATGTGAGACCCCTGATTCACCAAGGCACATAAGCATGTGCTTAACTTTAAGCATATGCTGAACTGTGTTGTTGAACTGGGACCATACATACCATTCACCCTACATACTAGACCCCAAGGAGCAGATCCTCAACTGATATAAGTTGAACTATGACAACATCCGCTAGCTGAAGATCTGCTCCCAGATATTCAGCTTCAACTTAATTCCTTGCAGTTCTCTGAACTTTTGAGGAGGCTGTGCAAAATACAACCCACAGACCAGATCTGGCCCACCACGCCATTGGATCTGGCCCACGGACGTAGAAGGGAGACAAAGGCAGGCTCCCTGCTTGCCTCGCCCCACCCACACACTGTTCAGAAAAGCAGTTGCTGGGTCATTTCTCTTTCAGAACTATGAGCCTGGAGGGGTGGGGGAAGAAAGCTTCAGGTGCAGCCCCCAGCCCCAGCACAATCCCATTGCCTGGTTTCTGGCCAGAAACCGGCCAATGGGAGCTTCCTGTTTGAATAACAGGCAGCCACGGAGCACCATGTGCCCTCCCCTCTGGCTTGTAGTTACTCTCACATGCACTTGGCCCTGCAGCCTATGCCTAGGTGGGGCAAGCTGGCTGGCTGGTTGAGAAAAGCTGAGCTGCTGGCTGGGAATCACCCAGTTAAGTATCCTGGCCAGAGCCTGCCCCTGGCACCCCAGCCCCTCCCTTCTCCAACCCTCTGCCCCCCAGTCCTGCCCCGCCTAGCCCACATACCCAAACCCTCTGCCCCCTTGCACCCAAGTCCTGTCCCAGATCCGGCACCCCAATACCTTGCCGCAGATCACTATCCCTTTGTGTCCTAGGTCGCGTCCCAAACCCTTGCACCATAATCCCCTACTCTAGGTCACAAGCCCTTCCTGTCCTAGGTCACAACCCAAACCCCTGCACTCCAGTCCAGTGCCCCAGGTTATAACTGCCTCCTTCACTCAAACTCCCTCCCAGACCCCACACTCCCTCCTGCACCCCAGTCCCTTACCCCAAGCTCCCTTTTGCTCCCAACCTCCATCCCAGACCCCACACTTCCTCCATTAATATCATGTAAGAGTGTAGCCCTCAACCACTTTCTAAATTCTCACAGTGGCCCCGCATAAACAATTATTCCCCACCCTTGTCCTAGAAATTAACACTGCCAGCTCCATGCTGCTCTTACAAGGAGGTCACATGGGAACACAACAGCGAGTGCTGTCAGGCAATTGGAAATTCAAACAGAAAAATATGTGCAACTACAAGTACAAGCTGTACTACCAAGGAATCAAGATGAAGACATTTTTCTACATCACAGAATGAGCAATGCGTAAAATTTCATTTGATTAGTTTATTATACATGTTTCCATGCAGCTGAATGTATGCTTTTTAAATATTATTTTAGACTGCTGAAATTGGGATGACAGAGAATGTTGGAGATAGTGGTCTGCGATTTGAAATCTGGTTCAGAAGGAGGAGGAAATCCCAGGACACATACATCCTTCAAGCAAACTCGACAGAAGTTAAAATTGCTTGGACCAATATCATAGGACGGATACTTTGGAGACAGGCTTTGAGAAACCGAGGTACACCAACTATTTAATTTAGAAAGAGATTGAAGGATTTAGCAATTTTTTCCTGCTAGTTCTGTAAGCAAGGCAAATTAGACATTAATGTTATGTGACTTTTACTTGTCTGCAGTCACCAAAGACTTTTTTTAAAATGCAATCTGAAAACAGCTTCTGCAAACAGCATTCCTAAAACAAATACAGCACAATAAAGTTGTCTCTATATGATTAGCAGGCTTTGGGAGGGCCCTCTAGATATATTGCTAGCATTGTGGGCAAGCCTTAGCTTTTAAACACTAGGGTCTTGTTTACATTACCAAGTGTGATTGATAAAACTTATGTCAGCACCCAAAAGTCAATAAAACAAAAATCACCAGAGGGTGTTCACATTTATTTCCTCTGTTCACAGATGAAGTCCACACTGGGGTCACCATCATCGACAGTGTGAGCAAATGCACATGACACAGGGCAGGCATTGTGGGATACTGGCAGAAGCCAGTTCTGTCAACAAAACAAACAGCACTGTCTACATGGGCTCTTTGTGGACGATAAATGGAAGGGGAAAGAAAGAGCTCTCTCCTAGGGATGGAAGTTTTTTATCACTGAAACTGAGTATTTGTCAAACAAAAGTCACATTGAAGTGTGTATGCTCCAAAAGGCAGTTTTTGGCAACAAAACTTGGTAGTGTAGACAAGAGATTATTATTGCTTACTACAACAATCTGTAACCCACTAACTCCTCTTTTTGTCCTATGACTGCAGAGATGTTAACAGACCACTCAACCTCGAATGGTCCCTTTAGAATATGGGCTAACTACTTATGCTAAACTATGTGTTCCTCCTTGCATTTTGCTGTGATGCTGGGAGTTCTTTTCCCAGATTGGAAGAAGAGCTCTTTGTAGTTCAAAAGCACATGAAGTCCCAATGGAACGGATGTAGAGTTTAGACCCAGGTATCAGAACACTTTACTTGAGCATGATTGGGACTTTTTATAGGGAAACAATGGTTTGAGGGAGGAGAGAAATGGGCACTAGATTTATTTATGGGTAAACAAATGGTTCAGAAAAGAGTTTTCTAACATTGTTTTGTTTAGTCTTCTATGAGGGCACAACCAGTTGATCGCGAGGCATTTGCCCCCTCCCCCCATTTCCCCACACCTGCAAGAAGCCCTACTACCTAACTCCAGCGACAATGGAAGTAGTGCCATTTTCCTGCAGGGTGGACGGAAGTCCAGCAACTGCATGCCACTTCTGGGGGTTCTGGAAGTGCGCTGACTGCTCCCCTCCCCCAGGTCTGTGGAATGCCAGGAACTTGCTGGGGCTTGGGAGAGTCCTCAGAGGAGGCGCATGCTGGGGCTTCCCTGTTCTGTGGGAGGGAGGAGTCGTCTCCAGAGGAGGTGCGCGCTGGGGCTTCCCACCTCTGCGGGGGAGGAAGGCGGGAGGAGGCCCTGGAGGAGGCAGGTGCAGGGGACTCCCTGTCCCCTGTCCCCCACTGGCACCCTGTCCCCCACTGGCACCCTGTCCCCACCCCAGCACCCTGTCCCCTGGCCCAGCACCCATTAGCACCCTTACCCAGTACCATGTCCCCTGCTCCCACCAGCACAGTTGGGGCCACATTAGTGAGGCTTGGGGGGAGGGTTGAAGGAGGTTTTTTTTTTTTTGCATCTCACTTGTGTGGCCCCCAGCTGACTTTTCTGTGTGTCAGTGACCCCTGACTCAAAACAGATTCCCTGCCCTTCTCAGAAATAATGACAATGCAGAAACTTTTTAGGTTTGACATAGTATTTTATTTAACAATGAAGCCTGGCCAACAAACTCCCAGTTGGGGTCAAGCACCCATCTGGCCGCAACATCATAACAGTCCTGCACACACACCCCACGAGGAATAAGGGGGCTTCTGAAAGAATGGGGTTTTTCTGACATTTGGTCCAGTCTAGACAGGTCAAATGTGGGACAAACCTCTTCCTACAGAAGAATCGGAAAAAAAAGCAGCAGTGTAGAGTGTATAAGGGCTGTGGATAGCAAGTGATGGAGAGGAGGAGAATAGAGAGGGCGGCTTGGGGGAAGGATGGGGCGGTAGATCTTGGCTTGTTCTGACATTTAAAAAGTGATCTTGGATGTAAAAAGGTTGGAGACCACTGGGCTAGACGATAGAAACTGATCATTCCTTGCTATAGGTGGTGTTCCTTGGGGGAAGCTCATAATGCAGTTAGGCAATTTCAGTATTTTGGATACCAATAGAGGATTTATTACTAAAATTGGTCTGATAATTACTGATCTGAGTGTGGGTAGGTGTGGGTTCATTAGCATCCAGAACAGAGATTTCTCACCAGGCAGAGCTTTCCTGCTTTCTATATTCTATAATTCAGTGCAGTTTTTGCTTTAGAAGTGCCATTCTGTATGCTAATAGAGGTGTCTTTCTGTCGTATCTTCAATGCAGATAAGGCTCGGGATGTTTTCTTAATCCTGTCACCCTATCAACCTTGTAAGGGGGTTAGGTGTGTCTTCTCCTGTCTTTTTATTGCTTTGGTTTTGGTTCAAGCAGAGGCCCGGGTGGGAGCGGGAGTCTTCCATGAGTATTATGCCCTAGTTCCCTGAGAACACAGAGCTAGTAGGTAACACATGTTACTGGTCGCTTGTGACAAATCTTCAAGTTGGTGAGCTCTCCTCATTTGTTTTAATGTTAGAAATATCATCACAGGGAGCTCTGGTCTTTCCTGGTTTTGTTACAGGAAGTTCCAGATGTGAATTGTGAGCTTTCTTAGTCCTTAACTGAAGGACAAATTAAATCTTAAAGCAATACATCTCTCGCCTATGGATTTGTCAGGGTCCTAACTTAAATAGATGCAGACAAAACCAATAACAAAGAAATCAAAGAGTTTGAAACAATTTCACTGCACGGTATCTGTAAGGCAAGATGGGAGAGGTGATATCTTTTATTGGCTAACTTCAATTGGTGGTAGACACTTTGAAGATTCCATAGAGCTCTTCTTCTTCAGGTCTGGGAAAGGTGCTCAGAATGTTCCAGCTAAATACCAGGTGGAACAGATTGATTGGCATAAGAAGTTACGGTATATGTTGTTATGGTATCTCTAATGTCATATTCCTACCATTTTGCAGCCATCAATAGACCAAAAAAATAGGATAAACATTTCTGATGTGAAAGTCAAACAGGGAAGGAAGGAAGAGAAGAGAAGCAACAAAAAAAAGGGGGGAGGAGCTCTAACCTTTTAGGACTTATTTATACAACATAATGAAGAAATGGGCATGATTTTGCCCCCCTTTTCAGGTTATTTTAATTTAGAAGTTAAATCCTTGACTCAGAAAAAGGAAAATTAAAAAATAGTAACTTTGGGGCAGAATGCTATTTGGTGGTAAGCATTTCTGGGGAGATGCTACAGTGTAAACTTTAACATGTGCTAGCTGGTTGATTTGAAGCTTAAACACAACCAGTATTCCATTTCCCCAAAAATGCTCTGTAGCATGAAACAGGATTCAGCAGGTGGTACTATTTTTTAATTTTATTTTTTGTGTCAGATATTTAATTGCTATAAACAAATACTGGAACAGAAGGGAAAAAATGTGCACTTTTACTTCTTTCTGATCGACTCAACCACAACCAGTTAGCAACTGTTAACATCTTCCCTGCCTTGTCTACACCAGATTTTTAGAACCTGTTGGTCCTAATAATACTTCTTTAAATGCTAGTCAAGACAAAGATCACCTGTGTCACAGTTTTGATTGGTAAATACAAACACAGATTAAGATTTCAAAACTGAAAGGCTCATTTGGCCCATGTTTTCTGACCTGTCACTAATGCAGATGCTAAGACTCTTGCACTTACCAATACAAAAAAACTTGGTAACTAAGGGTACATCTACACTAGCTCATTAGTTCGAGCTAGGTAGGGTAATGAGGGCAAGCAGAGTTGCAAATGAAGCCTGGGATTTAAATATCCTGGGCTTCATTTGCCTGTTCCCGGGCGCCGCCATTTTTAAATCCCCCATTTTTAAAAATGGCAGCACCCAGAAACATGCAAATGATCCCGGGCTTCATTTGCAACTCCGCTTGCCCTCATTACCCTACCTAGCTCAAACTAACAAGCTAGTGTAGACGTACCCTGACTCTCTTAAAAAGATTTGTGTTAATATCACAGAATTCAACAAGGATTAGGGGAGGGAAATTTCCAGATTGCCCATTTTAGCAGAAGTTACAGACTACCCTGAAAAACACATTTATTGTGGGTGCCAAATTTTCCAATCTTCCTCAGGCTGACATAGAATCATCTCATCTATTGCTTAATCAGGTCCCAGGAGAAGTATGGTTTTTTTTACAAATGTCCATACCTTGTTTCTTTAGCCCTGTCCCATGCATTGCAATGAGGGCATTAATGCTAATAAAGTTTGAAGGGGAAGGGGAGGTATGTATTCTTACACAAACATAAAGTTCTAAGTTAGCATTATAGTGAGAATTAAACTTAGGATACTAATTAGGTAATTCATAGCACTTTAATGTTGTTCTCTTTTTCTAATCCTTTTTTAATTCTCTAGCCAATCACTTCGGAATTCCTCTCAGAAATTCCTAATTCACACCACAAGAGAAGTAGTACAGTAAGCTCAGGACTGACATGAAAGGAACAGATATGAACAAAGCAGGAGGGACATAGCATATTTATTCTAAATCCACCTGGGCATTCCATGAATTAATGCTGCAGCTTTAGGAACTTTTTTCTTTCTGAGAAACAGTCTCTTAGGGATTTGGATATTTCTAAGTTCTTATAATATGTAAAGATGCTTGTACATCTTTATTTTTATTATTAAGGCTTGCTGTATATGTGTATGGTTAGTTTCCATTTGTCTCTGTTATTTTGTAAATATCCCTTCAAAGATCATATGCCTGATGAATGGTGATAACTGTACTCTCAGATTCATTTACCTTACTGCATTTTTAGTAGAATAGTTCCCAGCCACTTTGAGATACTTTGCTACCAGACTAAGGCTTTGAAGTACCAGTCAGTGCCTACTACTTCTATTCATCTGTGTGCACTTTAATCCACAGTTATTAGAGAAACAATAAATCCATTTATACTGCAGACCAGGGGTTAATTAATGACACGTAAGGTATTAAAAAGAAAGCAAGTCTTATATTCTTGGATTATTTTGTGGCACCTTAAGCCTCCACTCCCCCAATATGCTATAAAAACTCCAGGCCCAATGGGTGGGGAGCGGCTCTGGAATTTTGCCCTGCAGCAGGGTGGTGGGATTAGGGATCTGAGGGCTCTGGGCTTCAGCTGTGGGGAGTAGGTTTATACAGGGTGTGTGCGCTGCAGATTGGGGCACTCCAGGACTCAGGTCTTCAGTCCCGGGTGATGCACCAGGGCTTCAGCCCTGTGGTGGGGAGGGGCACCAGGCTTGGAGCTTGGGGCCTGCTGGGGCTCCCTCTACATTTGAAAATACTTAAGTGGCACCATACTGTGGATGACTCCAGCTGAATGTGAGCTCTAGTCTAGAAGAAAGGGGAACTATCTGTGCACAATGAAACCTTTGAACAAACTGAGCCTTTATACAAGCCACTTATTTAACTTATAAGGATAATCTGTAGGGAACTGGAAGCAGAGGCATATGAGAGATCACTGAGTGCTAGAAATAAAGCCACTGAGGAGTGAGGGCTGATGGGTACAATTCCTCAGGCTTCCGTGTGCTGGAGGGACAAATCCTTCTCCTTGAGATAAAAGAGGTTCAATGAAAGCTTATATTTCTATTCCACTTGCTTTAATGTGGAGGCCTTGTATACACTGGAGCTTACGGCAGTATTTATGTTTCTCAGCGGTGTGAATAAGCTATCCCACCACCACCTCTGACCAGTGCAAGTTACACTGACCTAAGCACCAATGTCAGTGAGAGAGCTTCTTCTGCCAACACGTGTACTGCCACTTCTGGGGACTGGGGTAATTAAGGTGACAGGAGACCTCTCTCCCATGAGCTAAAAGAATCTGCACTAGCATGTAGTCTGACCTGCTCAAGCTACCAGTGTCTGGCTGGCTCCAGAGCTCAAGTGTTTGCAGCTGAAAAATGCTTTTCTCTCCTGTAGGGAGTTAGTGATCTACAGCAGAGAGCACTGGAAAGATAAAAATATTGTTGTCCTCCCATAGCAGCATCACTAAAACACCAAATGGGTTTCTGACATTTTTCATGTGTGCATTTTTTCCCTTTAGAACTCAGAATGCAAGAAATGGTGTCAATGGGAATAGGCAATAAACCTTTCATGGATATCAAGCCTAGTGACGCAGCCATAAGCGACCGAGCAATCGATTACATTATGAAGGGAACAGGTACAGTCTACTATCCACATTCCATTAATGGTCAACCTTCCCACTCTCCAGTTGGTCTTCACTGATTGCTTCATGCTCTTAAAAAAAAATTGATGGTAACATATTTCTGCATAGAATTGATCTTACTTTTGTATCAGTGTAGTAGATTTAGTATCTAATTTCTGTTGTTAAGCTCATAGAATTTTGGCAATACAGACTTCAAAGTGTATTCAGTCTCTCCTTGTCAGAAAATCTGGGGAGCATGCAGGCAGCAGAGGGCTGAACATATGGACTTTCCAAAAGTCAGTTCAATAATATTTTAATTCAAGTAGAAGTTGTAGTAGTAGAAGATGACAGATGAATTGTAATAGGCTAACTCAGTACTGTTTTATTTTGTGTTCAAAAGAGCATTTCCTCTTATTCACCTTGTTCTTTTCCAGTGATAAAGGTTTTTGTTTGCTTGTAGAATCGAGATCTCGAGCATCAATAGCAGTGTCTTCATTTGACCACTCCACTCCATTTAAAAGGCCGCATTCCACTATCTCAAACAGTAGCACATCTTCTTCAAGCAGCCAGTCCTCTTCTTCCATTTTGGGTTCACTGAACCTGCATGTGTATTCCAGCCCACCTCATCCAGGCTTACTAGGACCACCCTTCTACCAATGGTCCTATGATATTAGAACCTGCATTGAGGAAGATGAGCTGGAGCAGGAAACTGGCAGTCAGCCTTCAATGAGTAAGTGACTATCAGTATCTGTGTTACAAAGGGATTTGTAAGGATTTGGGACATGGCAAGTTGTTCTGGTTCTAATCTGCATCTTGACAGATCAGCACACACATATGTGTGCAAGTACAATACATTGGGGCTATGTGATTTATGTCTCCAAGCTGTGCCTTTTAGTCCCTCACATTTATCATATTTCTAGTTCTAGGTAGCCAGGGGCGGATGAGAGTGCCGCGGAGCCCAGGGCAGTGAAATTTCGCGGGGCCCCTCCTTTGATATGGCGCATGCGCCGTGGTGCCACAGCGCATGCGTGGGGCCTCAAGAAGCACGGGGCCCAGGACAGCCACCCTGCTCGCCCTGCCCTAAATTCGCCACTGTAGGTAGCAATAATCATGGCTGCTCCTACTGCTCTCTAGAGCCATTGCTGTCACCCGGGGGATGATAAGTAGTGCCTCTGCAAGTTGTTACGGTAAACTTTTCATTTTCACAGCTCTTTAAATACATGAACCAAATAAGAGAGAGAATCGTGACACTGACTGAATCACTGCACAGGCTCCTTAGAGCAAGGAAATCTTAGCCTTCCTCTAAGCTTGTTGTGTGTGTCTGTCTGTGTGTCCACATGCACCCTCAGTCCAATGCCCACATCCATGGAGAAGGCTATTAGGATGGTGGCTTTTATCAAGAAGGGCATATACAGCTAAGGAAATTGTCTATACCAAACTGATTAGGCCACATACAGAGTATGGTGTTCAGTCTGTATAGGTAGCCGTCCTAAAATGTTAGAAACTGAGAGATGTGTTGTCTTTAAATGTGTAAAGCTGTTGGACTGCAGGCCTAGACAGAGTCTTAACTTCACGTGCTTTCTTCCCATTATAGTCACAGAGAGTTCAGAGTCATCCCAGTGCACTTCAGGTGAAAGTATGAGTTGCTTTAGTAGTTCTGCTCATCCTGGATTGTCCCAGCTCTCTACAGACACATTCTTGGATGAAGGTGCTTCAAATCCTGACTCTAAGCCACCTTCCCAGTGCACATCTCCTGCGCTCCCTGAGAAGAATCCTAGATCAAAACACACCAACCAGTATGTCACAGCGGTAAGTGTTTCTCTCTTTAGCCCACAAGTCATACAAAAAGTCTTCATTGATTTCACTTATACTGATTACCACTAATTTTACCAATATGGCGATACCAAACTTAACTGTTATCTAAGGCCCTGATTATAGGGACTTGATCTGTGCATACTTTACAATGAACTCAGACTCTTGGAGGCAAACTCTGCTGTCAGTTACACCCATGCAACCTGTTGGCTTCCTTTGGGTTGCATAACTGTAATATGCTGCATAGTTGCAATGATGACCCCAGTGAGGTCATATGAGTGTCACCTGTTGCCAGCCACCACATTCACGTTAAAAGCCTTTTCCTGGTCCAAATGCTACTTTCAATTGCAGTTCTACTCTGAGTTCTGCAGAATTACTGTGCCGTACACTGGTGTAACTGAGAACAGAATTTGGCCCACTTACGCTAAGTGCACTGAACTGCCAGGACATCAGAAGGTCAACATACCTTTTGTTTTTATGTAAGTGGAATGTGTTTATATTGGCCATACTCTGCTGCCCTTCGTCATGTTGTACCTTATTCTGTGAATAGTCATATTGATTTTAATGGTGCTTCTTGTGGAGTAAGTCCCTACTCAGTGTAAATGTGGCAGAATCTGTCCTTATGGATTTGGAGTAAGCACTTAAAATAGGATGACACAAACAAATGAAGCGCCTCTTGCTCTGTAAGCTAGAATAGAAGCTGCACTGTCTTTGACAGTGGTGGCTAAAAGTGACATTTGAGCAGTCAATAAACAGTGCTGGAATTGGCAGCTGTATCTCTTGTCCTGCTGTTGTGAAAAGTCTTCAGTACCCCTCACAAAAGAATTTCCAGCTGCAGGAGTACAACCCAGTCTAGATCCTCCCCAACCCAAAGAGGCACCCACGTAAAACCGTGAGAATGAAACCCCAGACTCACTTTAACACCTTGCTCTGACTGCCACTCCAGATATAGCCTGGCACCCTAAAGAAAGTAGGGATACACTGCAACAGCCACTTCTCACTCACTCACTGAGTGACAAAGATTATATGCAATCTCTGCACTCCTCCCAGAATCTGTAACACCCTGAAGTCTGGAGCCAACACCCATCAGAATTGCAGGTGCCCTTAAAATTTACAGGCAAATAAAGAATAGAGCTTCCTTTTGTCAGCATTACTAATAAAAATTAGTTATAATAGAGGACAAAAGGCTAGAGGATGCTACCCAACAGGATATGCAGTCAGCAAAGTATCCTCAAGGTCCTAAATGTCACTTAGTTACATGCCAACTTGAAAAAAATAAAGTTAGAACACAATAAATATAGGTTATTAATGTTGGTACATTAAGGTAAGGTGATTTAAGGGAGAGGTTCACATAGCTAGAACTTGTAAAGTTAAAACAATTAGGAAGTAAAGTGCATGGTGCTACTAGAGTTAGGATTAGTGAGAGCAACCACCTTTTTAAGGTTCATGTTCCTGGTGCTTCAATACTACAGTATATACTGTGTGATTTCATGTAATTTATAATGAAAATCCCTGTTTACTCAAGGACATTAATGACAACATGATCCCTTCTTGGAGCCATGTGAGGCTGGTTCTGTTTACAAATACCTATGCTATATTCCCAGGTAATCCTACAGATTTCAACGGGGATAAATAAAATCCACCATGATATATCAAGAATTAGACTGGCACAGTGCAAACACCTACCTACTTTGCTTTATGCAAAGTTGGATGCAGGAGTGCAAATCAAGGGTTGTGTGTGTACATGGTTGGATGGTAATCTATGTAGTCCCACAAGTACATAAATTGGAATGTATGACTATCTAACCATAATGCACACACAGGAAAACACATTTGTATGTGCATAGATGCACAACTAGCTACGGTCTCAGAATACGGCCCTAAATCAACTAAGGAAATGAACAAACTAAAACTCTTACTGATTCAAAGTATTATATTGTTCTATATGGAAACAGGAAGTCACAGAATATAGGCCACATTTTCCTACCAATGGAACACACAGCCAAAACAGTATAACACAGCTGTTTTCTGGCTGGTAAGCAGTGGAATCCATGAGGTTTTTATGGATATCCTGGGTGTGGCGAAGGAACATCTGCAGACTACTCTTTTACCTACCTAGTGCTGAAGGAAGCTAGAGCTTCCCTGATCCAGGATTAAATCAAGACTTTCTGACCAATATAGATTAGAATGGAGACCCTATCTATTTTCCCTTGGCTGTAAACGCCTACCAAAGCATGCATCAAACGTCTCCTCTGCCAAACTATCCAGAGAAAAGTGAGCCAAGAACACTGTGCTGTGACTTATTCCAGCCATTGATGAAATATACTAAGTGCAATTACTGTCAATAGTTCTGCTGCATTTTGCAGGCAGTGTATGAGCTTGTCTGTACATTCAGCATTCATTTCCTTAAGCCTCCTCCATTTTTTGTCTTACACCTCACTCCAGGTGCCCAGCATTTGTATTGTTCTTACTGCCACATTTAATTAGGGAACATCTCCCAACAATCCAGAGCTTAGGAGATGGGCTCTTTTTAAGCACACATTGCACTCCTTTTTTAACATGCATAGGCGTGAACATAAGTGCTGATCCAGCAAAAAGCACTTAAATATGTGCTTAAGTTTCAACATGCATGTAGGGCAGGGGTGGGCAATAATTTTTTGCTGGAGGCCACTTCATACATTTTTGAAGTGGCCCCGGGCCATGCTGGAACGGGTGGGGCCAATTTACTTCCCTGCTTCCCCACCCACAGACCGAGGTTCCCCCTAGGCACCCATGCCCCAGTGGTGGGAGAAGACTTTACGGGCTCCCCTTTCTTCCCCCCAGGCCAATCAGTGCCTGGGGGCGGGGGAGTGTGTGAAGCCTCCTCTTATCCTGCCAGGAGCAAGTGGCGCTTCTTAGCGCCGTGCACTCCTTGCAGGGCTGGGGAAGGGCAAAGAAAACTTTGCACTCTCTCCCCATCCCCAGGCCAGTCAGGGCTTGGGGGTAGGGGAGCTTGCAGAATCTCCTCTCATCCTGCCAGGAGCCATGCACTCCTGGTAGGGTTGCCAGGTGGCTGGTATTCACCCAGCCTGTCTGGTATTTTCAGCTCCTGTCCATTAAAAAAATTCAGAGAATACCGGACACCTGAGATGTTCAGTATTCCCTGAATTTTTCCCCGGCCAGGAGGCAAAAATGCCTGGCACCTGGCAACCCTACAAACACTCAGCGGCCTCAATCCAACCCCTCGACCCCAGCCCCCAACAATCCTTCCCCTGGGTCTTAGTGCTCAACTGCTTCCCTGTTCCTATCCCTGTACTCACTCTTAAATGGGACATGCTATTTTATTTTATTTTATTTTGAATTTTAATTTTTGACTTAAGTCCTTGGAGTCCCTTTTTTTTTTTTTTTTTTTGGTTCCCCCCCTACAGAATTCTTTCTCTGTGTTTTTTTGGGGGGGCGGGGGGAGGATTCAGTGTTTTTGTTTCAACCATCTGGCAACCCTAGCTCCTGGCAGTGCAAAAGAAACTTCATGGGCTTCTCCCTGCCCCCAGGTACTATTTGGCAGGAGTGACAGGACCTCTGCAGGCTGGATCAACCCAATTGGCAGGCTGGATCCAGCCTACGACGGCCCTTTTGCCCACCCCTGGTGTAGGGCCTTTCACTTTTGTAGGATTATTCACATGCTTACATGTTTTGGTGGTTTGGGAATTTACTGAGGAATTTGGAGCACTTGGCTCTAAATTGTTCATGAAACCCCTTTGAGCTTTCACAGTCTTAATTCTTACTGTTGAACTCTGCATAGTTATTGATCTACAGGAGGCTGGAAGTGTAAAACCCACCTTCTATGTGGACACTCTGACCTCTCCATTGCTGTGTGAGACTCTTGCTGTTTCCCTTGCTCCCCGAGCTAAGAGCACGGCAGGCATAGTTTGCTGAAGCCACATGGTGGAGGGACAGCTTGGTGTCATTCAGTAGCGACTACGTTGGCTGTCTAAGGAGAAGCAAGGACTGCTTCTGAAGGACACCCATTCTCTTGAGGCACAGTGATTTTAGCTGCAACACAAACTTTTGATTGAGAGACATAAAACTGAGGAAATGGGCTCTGATCAGGATGTGTAAGAGATAAAGCCATCATGGAGGAGAACTGTGGATTTTATGGTTTGCATAGAAAAGTAATTTGGGTGCCTGTTTAGAGAATATATAGAAAAGTAACTACTCTGAAAATAGATGGGTTCTCCTAATCCTGAGTTTATCTCAATGCCCATTGGTTTGAGGATTGTGAATGTCAGATTAGGCCTATGGGTTTCAACAATGCAGAGTATCTGTAGCTATACCAGTCCCTGGACATTAGAGAGACCTGGTAAGATCATAATTTTTACTGGACCAACTTCTCTTGGTGAGAGAGACAAGCTTTCAAGCCACATACAAATCTGTGGTTTTCAAGAGCAATTTAAGGCACACACACAAATTACTTTTAAGATAGCATTTTCTTAGAAACCAAAATCTAAAAGCATGCTAAGATTTTCTCCTGCATATAGTAAAATCAGGAAGACAGTCAATAAAGATGATGGTGCATCATATATTTGTATTGTATAACACTAAACAGATTTATGATATTGAATATTTTCATCATCCATTTTTTATGATTAAGCAGAGCTAATATTTAGAAATGCTTAAGGATACATTTTGAACTATCCCTACAACCAAGAGTATGTTACGTGGTGAGCCATTGTGAAGAAAATGTTCTAATTATCCTGTTATGTTGGTATGACCCAGGTTATTCCTAGCAAACTATAATGTTGGTTTTAATTAGATTTCCCTCCCTTTTCCATCAGAACAAAACCTCTCATGTATTAGGCCTCTCAACAATGGTTTGACTGACAGGCATAAATTCAGTAAGTAACTGGTTTTCTCAGCTCAACACTTATACTAAAATGATCAAGTTAATAAAAAAGACTCCAGGATGTTACGTTAATTATAAAATAACAACCAATTAAATTGGGGCATATGGGAATGTCTTAAAACTGATCTGCATGTTCTAACAATATTAGAAAAGTTATTGAATCCTAATTGTCACTTATTAACAAACTTCTTTAGAGAGTGCTCTGGTATAAAGGTACTATAATTTCTCCCTGTAATTCACTTTCTTCCTTCACTGAATGTTTACTTTATCTCCATCTTTGGCCCACAGCAATTTGCGTTGTGGGTTGCGAAAAATTTGCTTTGTGGGTTGCATACATGTTGCTAGAACAGTGGTATGAAATTATGTAATGGATTCTACATTCCACCATTTGCATAATGCTTGACATGGAGCAGTACTGCCGATTTCTGCTTAAGCTGTTTTGTGTGTGTGTGTGTGTTAGTTAACTACTTAATTTTAAAGGTTTATGCCAACAAAGAGGAAAGGGGCTGGTAGAGATGATGCTTTTCTAGCATGCCTTCTAAAGTGTCAAAGACAGAATCAGGCACATAATGCCTGAATTCAAACTCTGGTAGGCTGAAGGTACTGGCTACACATAGCAAGCTGAGCTGGTCTTTGGGAGCATCTACACTGCAGGTCTTAACTTGGAACAAACTACACAAATTGAGCTACGTCAATTGCACAGTTTATTTCAAAATAGCTTATTTCGAAATTGGGAGCATCTGCACAGCACTTATTTTGAAATAGAGCACTCTTCCTCCCACTTCCCTTACCCCTCATACAGGAGGAGGAGCAAGAAGTCCTCCAGCTTGACAGTATTTCAACACTATTTTGAAATAACTGCCTGCTGTGTAGACGCAGTCTAATTTATTGCTTTGTAGATGTACCCTAGGAGAAATAATGTTTCTGTGTAGACGTACCCTAGGAGATTAGCTTGTCATGGAAGATAGCCCAAGTTTAGGAAAGTCCATGCAGATAAACTCCCTGGCTTTCCTGCTTAACATCCCTGATTCCCAAGCCTATCTGCAGCCCTTCAGGGTATGACTGCACTACTGCTAGACATCCATGGTGGCCCATGCCATCTGACTTGGGCTCTCAGGGCTCAGACTAAAGGTCTGTTCAGTTGCAGTGTAGACATTAGGGTTTGGGCTTCAGCCTCTGCTCTGGGACCCTCACACATTTGCGTTCTAGAGGCGCACGCACACAGCCTCCAGAGGGAGTTACAGTACTTAAACCAGGGGTGAGCGATAATTTGGTCTGGGGTGGAGGAGCCTCTTTGCCTCCCCGTTCCCACTAAGCACCCATGTCCTTGGCAGGGCGGGAAAAAGCTTTGCACGCTCCCCCAGCCCCAGGCCAATTAGGGCCTGGGGGCGGGGGAAGCACACAAAGTTTCCTCCGCCCTGCCAGAAGCATGTAGTACTTTGAAGTTCCGCATGCTCCTGGCAGGGCAGGAGGAGATGTCACGCGCTCCCCTGCCCCCAAGCCCTGATTGGGGTGGGACTAGGACAGAGGAAACTTTGCACATTCCTCCTGCCTCCAGGTCAATCAGGGCTTGGGGGAAGGGGAGTGTGTGAAGTCTCCCCCTACCCTGCTTGGAGTGCGCTGGCACTTCAAAGTGCTACATGCTCCTGGCAGGGTGGAGGAAACTTTGTGCGCTTCCCCTGCCCCCAGACTCTAATTGGGTTGGGGGCGGGTGAGCAGCAGGGTTTCTGCGGGCTGGATCAACTCACTTGGTGGGCCAGATTCAGCCCGCGGAGGCCCTTATGTCCATCCCTGACTTAAACTGATTGCGACAAATGTCATGCTTTTATCATAAACCCCACAATTCCATCTCTTTCCTCCCCCTCCCCCCACCCATACAGATTTAATCGGCTAATAAGTAAAATTTGTATCTTTGCAAACTGTATTCCTAAGATACTATAATTACACAAATAAACCAATTAGGCAGTATTTATGTGTAATTCATTAATTCAAGAGTCAGAGTGCTCCCACACACGCTTTGATCTCAATCAGGAGTCAGTAGTTACACATTCTGTAGTAGATTTTAAAATTGAAACTTTTTTACATACGTTTTTCTGATGAGGGTTAAAAGATTCTTTAAACACGTAGGGTGACATTTTCTAACACTCTGTCCACTGGCCTAATTGTTCCCACTGAAATCCTACCATGAGCTGTAATGGAACAGAGTTAGGCCAGTGCTGAGCACTGCAGAAAAACCTTAATTTTAAAACAGCTCATTTTATTAACTATTTACATTTAGGTTAATTGTTCATTGAAGTTCCTTAAAATGGGAATAAGGAATATTTTCTCATACAGATTGCTGTGACATCTATTTTTTGTATTGAAAAATTGTTTCAGTATCAAGCAGTCAAACTGAATTGTATTTTATTGCCATATTTCAGCACAATAATAGACAGAAGTGCTAATGTCTAAATAGTTTGAATGCTTCACAGTTTGGATTTTAACTAAAAATAGTAAGTCTCACAGTAACTTCTGGATTGTTTTGACAGCTATGAGTCAAATTACTATGAAGACATTTTCAAGCCATCCTGACCTTGCTGTTGCAGATCATCCCAAATTTACTTTGTGATGAAAAACCTGTGACACACTTCATGGACTCTCTCACTGGAGGCTTCAGCAGCAGCAAAATAAAAATTGAAATATTTTTTTAAATGACCAGAGAACATGCATCTTCATTTTTGTTTGTCATTTTAAAAGCAGTTTTGTTGCAGAGTTTAATCTGCACTTCCAAAACATGAACTAAATTCTGCTCTCAAATAAGCATACAAGCTGCTGATTCCAGAGGTTGCATTCAAGGCTTGCAAGGGTAGATCTTGGCCCTGTGTGTGTGACAACTCAAAACGTTATTTTCTGTTTTAACCTGAATCTTGTATATAGCAGATGATTGTTGTAGATGTTGCTATATTTTGTGCAATCCTGTAAATGTAGAAATCCTTAGTAAATGAACTAATATCTGTACAAAAGGAAGAACACAAACTGCTTGAAACTTTTATAAATTATATTTTATTGACTCACATTTTAAATCGCTCATTACAGCCGACCCATTTTTATATAATTACTCGTGTCTCCTCCAGCGCATCATGGGAAAGTGAGTTGCTGCAATGAATCGTAGTAAATGTGGACTTGTTAGAATATGGCAGTTTCTAGAAATTACAATTAGAAATAATTATTTGTATGCATTTTCAAATATCAGATATGAAAAAATACTATTCAGGAGCTGCTGAAAACAGTTTGACTTTTGTTACTTCAAATATTGCCCTTGTTTAATACTTTTTTAAAAAAATAAATGAAACAATTTCTACCATGTAACATTTATTTTCATTGTATGTGATGTTCCTTTTCTTTTCTTTTCCAACCATGCATTGACTATAGTATAAAAATCATGAAACTTTTATGAGCAGTATCTGCTGTCAGGATTAAATCTTTCTTGTATGACAAAATTGTGATTCTGATGGGTTTCCAAGAGGCATTATCACCATAGGACTTTGAGAGGACTGATTTAAGGTGGGGCTGTGATTGAAAAAATAAATGAATGAAAGAGGAAATAGGGACCAAATTAGTCCACTAGTCATTTGCAGTAGTGGTATCTGGAAGGCACTCACTTTCTCTTCTTGGCATAAGGCCCTAGATAGATAATAAAAGATTAAGATAAATAGACAAAGACAGATGAAATCCCAGTTTGGGGCTAGATGTAACAATATGATCTGTCCTGAATAAATGTCGTGTCTTGCTGTGCCGTCCCTTGGCAAGCCAGAGTTCAGTCCCTGCTTCTCTCTTTATGCTAGGGGGAAGCAGTCTCAGCCAGCTCTCTACCAGATGCAGGTTACTTCTTTTTTCCTGTCAGTTCAGATATGCTAGATAGCACATGGAACAATGAAGTCAAGGGCTATTTTCATCCTTCACCCCACCTACACGGGAAGGGAAGTAGCACCCGTATGGTGCTTATCTATGCAGTGACCTGCACTGTGGGGTAACTAGCACAGGACACTAAAAAGGAATTTGATCCCCCTCACTCTTCATTGTAGACATGCTCAGCAAATGCCAAGCTTACCCTTAAATTTAGGTGTGGGTGGTATTTTTATTGTCGCATCACTATTTTTGTGTCACAGAACTAAATAAGCAGCACCTTCTAGTAGGGCTTGTTACAGAGCGCACTGAACTGATCCTGAAAAAAAATCAGGACTTCCAAATGACTCTCCTCTGTTGCTATACCCACACTTAGAAGATTTGATAGATGATGATCTACAGCTTGCAATCCAGGCCTTCAGGACATTAAAAATTCCCCAAGATACCAGGATGTTGTGATGTCATTTGTTACACAACCATAAGGCATCAAGCATTACGATAAAATGAATTGTCCTTGGAGCACTAACTTTAAGTACTGTATATCTGAATCTTTATTGACATTTATTTAAGAAACCAATAACCTTTACTGGACATTTCCCTCCACCGTATTGTCCTAACCTTGTGAACTAAACATTTAACCAATCTTGCTTATTCCCTAGAGTGATGCGGTGTTCACACCCCATGCTAGCCTAAAAGGAGTGAGAAGGGACTGGCTAGCTCACTTCAAGAGGAATTAGGTAGCCCCAGTCTGATGATGGAACCCAGCTGAGAAGGAGCAGACAGGGCTAGAATAAACCAGGATGCTGGCAGTGGAAAGGGACTGCAGTGAAGAATCCTGTAGCATCTTTGGATGTTAGCAAAGGAAGGAAGGAAACACAGGAAAGTGCAGAAAGCCCAGGGGTCCAGGCCATGAAGAAAAGCTTTATCCAGCATGTTGGTGAAGCAAAAGCCTGAGAGAGGTGGAATAAAAGAAGATTCAGGGAAATGGTAGCAAGACGAGTCATTGCAGACCTTGGCTGCTGATTAGAGGTGCCCAGTGCCAGAATCTGGAGTAGAGAGTGGGTCCCAATTCCCCTGCCAGCCACAGGGAAAGTGGCACAGTCTAGGCCGTGAATTGGGAGGCTGCCAGAGACACTTCGATAACCCCCTGGAAAGAGAAAACACACAGTGACCTGGTGAGAGGATCAAGCCATGAAGGGGGAGTAAGCTGAGTTCCAGAGTGAATGAAAGGCCATGGGATGCACAAATGAGCCATGAAAGGGGGTTATCGGACCTGGAAGAAGCTAATCTCCAGCACCTGTCAGAAGAAGGCACCCTAGCAGTGAGTGGGCCCTGTGCCACCTACATTCTCCATGGTCCTTACTTTTGAAGGGGCATCTGCTATTCCACTTCACCATTATCATCAGTTCTATCAGTCAATATTCTAAGATATATGAGTCAAACCCTAAGGCTCTTTGCTGGTTTGTATTCAGGCAAGTCAGCCATTAATTTCAAGTGATCGTTTGAGTAAAGACTTGAGGATCTGGCCCATGAGCATAGCACAAGCCTCTATATCCTATTCATTGTAGATTGCTCTCAAAACACTTCCTTATTGTCTAAATCAGAATTCAAAATCTTCCTCATAATGATCCATCTGGTTACCATCACAGTGTTTCATACATCTGTGGCTGCCCTTGATGTTTCTGAAATCTAGGTGAATAAACTGGTTAAGCCCTTGTTGAGTCTCAGTAGGTTTCTTCATCCTTTCTTTGCCAGTGAAGAAGACATTTTAGCAGCTGTGACCCTCTGCCAGATGAATGAGCTAGCTCCAAATCTTTACAGTTAATACACAGGATTCTGGTATCTAACTAGAACTACTATGCCCTCACACTTGGTTCTTTTTGCTTATGATTTTTTCAGGAGCCTTTCTTCATCAAGAAGTTGTCTTCTACAAATCAGATGCCAAGCGGGCTCTTAGTATAAATAGTGAGTTTTTTTTAAAGTTCCCATGTTTTCACCTACAGGAAAAAATCCAGTGGAGAACTGCTATCTAGTCAATAACTATTGAAAAGATTGTGCAGTAGATCATCCCTTATTTATTGTTTGTACTACCCTAGCCCTAGTCATGTAGAACTTCCATTGTGATAGGTGCTGTACAAACACAATAAAAAAGATAGCCCCTGCCCCTCAGAGCACACAGTCTGAGATAAGCCAAGGAGACAGAGAGATGGGAGAATACAACGTCACACTGAGGCAGAGTTGGTTAGCATAATAGGTAGTGATCTTTGCAGTCAGTCACCATTACCAAGCTTTTAATGGACAACAGCAAGGAAGAGTTCTGGGGAGGTTTCAAAGAAGGAGGGCAAGGTAGCTTTTTGGCTGCTTATGGGAAGCCCAGTGATACTCATGAGATCTACCCGGGGCCAATTTGAGAATTCTGTGGCGCAAGACAGGCCATTTGCACAGAAGACCGTCGATAGCAAAACCAATACTTACATTGCAATCAAAGTCTTTATTAGCAGCTAATTTTTTAAAGCTTATAACCAACTTTATAAGTCAAATTATTACCTTGTTGGTGACATCAACGATCTCTGTCAAGCTTTGTGAAGTGTGGTTTGTAGGAGGTCTGAGGAAGGTGTATGCAGCGGTGAAGATGCTCATCTGCCAAACAACTGCGATGTTAGTTTGTTATAAAATTCAGGGTAGAAAATGCAGATTTGCAGAGGTATGTTGATCTGTACATCATTATACGATAGATGGCTAGATTTTGGCTATTCTGAAACTGGTAAGCATATTGAGTCCAGAAATCATTGCTCCCACTTCTCTGAATTTTGCCTCCAAGACATCAGAGCTCTGGAGACTAACAATTTATAATTGAAAGGCACCTTCATCAACTGGATCAAAGATGTTCTTTGCTTCAGAAGGGAAAGGTCCAACAGATGGAGACAACAGATGGATCATGAAAATAAAAAGCATATGCTTTTGAATTTTAAAATTCTCAAATCACATTTTAAAATGTTTAGACTTTTTAGGAATTCTTGCATTGTTTTCATCAACGTTCCATCCATAGGAACAACAGCACTTTTTCTTCACTAATTAAGCACTGTCAGTTCCTTACTAAAGAAGTTATAGGCAAATGATAGTATATTGTTGTTTCTGAATTTAATGATAAACATTTTAAAGGTTAGCTGGCAAGCCACATAGGATGCCTTGCTGGGCCATATTTGGCCTGTGGGCCCCCTATTGACTATCCCTACTGTAACCTTTAGGTTCTGTAGGCACAGCTAATCCTGCAAGATGCTGAATAGGCTCACGCTTGATGTCTTGCAGAAGGCAAGGAATAAACCCCAGAAGTGGGGGTGTATATTCTACATGGAGAAAGACAACTCGGTGACTGAATTTCTTTAAAAGATTGCCCCTCTCAGCTCCACATTCTGCATCATTGCTTATCTTTGGAATAGCCGGACTAGTCAGGAACCAAGAATCTGGAGCAGGGTATTTCTGTTCATCAACACAAGCACGTTGCCTTAATAGGCATGTGTCAAAACACATGCTCCAGTTCTTGGCTTGCTGTCCAAAGGGTTTCAGGTCCACAATACTTGGAATCCAAAAAGTGGAGACCTATGGAAACTTCAGCTAGTGATAAACACTGTGCGCTAACATTTAATACTACTTTAAAATCTAAATTTGTTTAAAGAAAAAGTGAAAGGGTTTTATTTAAAAAAATAATCTGAACACAATAAAAGAGTTAATTGCAGATAGAGAGCTATTCCCATGTACATGTACTTTTTGCAGTTCTGCCAGCCCTCTTTGACATGAGCCTACACTTATCAAAAATTAACCTTTATTACACATGAAGGTTAAATAAACAAACTGGTCCCTGAATAAATGAATCAAAACATGTGGTTTGTGCAGACTCTCTAGTACCAAAATAGAAGGGCTCAGCATGTAACCACTCACTTTACCTTCCTAAAGACATTTCACTTAGTCCCAGACAACAGCTGCAGCTAAAAATAACAAATGACAAGCAACCTTAACCTTCGTTAAACACAGAAGCCACTCTCAATGCCGGAAAGAAATCAAAGGCAACAATGAAGTCGCTGCGGTTCATTAGTGCTGAGGCATTGGTATCAAATGCACAGTTTGCCAGGAAAAATCTCCACAGTGTTGCACATAACCTTTTTCCTCTTCTTTTTAAAGCCAGTTATTTACAGGAGCAGGGGGAAGTGATTCATGACCTGGTGGAAAACTGGCCCCTGGCAGACTTTAATATAGGAAAACTGTTAGGGACAACAGTGGATTACCAGGAAGACCTCAGCAGCAGAGCATGCTGTGTTTGTTTGGAAAGTTGTCTAATTGGGCTGAGAGACTACGTGCTGAATTATTCTTCTCCATACTCCAAGCGACTGAAAGTGGTGGACCTGACAGGCATAAGAGATGTTGAAGTTCAGCTCTGCAAGTGTAAGAAGACTATGGGAAGGTGGGCCAGGACAGAGTTACTATCAAAGCTCTGTTTTGAGCTGCTTGTCGAAATGCAAAGTCTGCAGTTCAATCCGTGTATCTTTGATATCGCTATCGATGTCTTCATTGACCTGTTTGTTACAGAGAGGAACTATGAACTTGTAGTCCAGGCCTTACTAATGAGGTGCTACTGTCCACTAAAGCTTCGTTGTGTGGCATTCAGAGCTGATAGTCTCACTTTACGAAAGCTGTTCTATGTCATAAAGCTCACAGACCCCTCTTCACTGCGCAAACTGGAAGTGGTTCACAATATTCGTTTGGAGATGGAGCATTTGGAAGTGCTATTAAATAACATCCACTTTCCTCTACTGACATCACTTACACTACCAGCCAGAGCATTCAACGTGCAGCGGTATACAGATGAGGATGAATCAATCCTTACAACTATTGGAGAGAAGTTGAGCCAAATGACGCAGCTGACTGAGCTGAGCCTGGCATTTTCTACCCTCACAGGAAAAATACGGAAACTGCTCAGGTACGTTGTTCCCAGAAGTGTGATAAAGTGTGATGAGCTGCTCGTTGTTGCATTGGCACTGAATTAAGGGCTGTCAAGCCTAAGGAAAAGGGGTGGGGGTGAATAGTGGAATGTTTTCATTTCCCTAGCCCAGCTGTGACTGGTAGGCCAGACCATCTACACTCCAGTCCCTTTTACCATGCAGACATTCCAACATGAGCTGCAGCTCAGTCTCTGCAACATAGCAAGGACAGTGAGTCTCAGAGCCCAGACTCTGGCCTGAGCATGAACATCTACACTAATGTTTTTAGTCCCATAGCGTGAGCCCTGCAAACGCCAGTCAGTTGATCTGGGCTCTGAGACTTGCTGACATGGGATTTGCGGGACGGGGGGAGGGGCGGCGGCAAGGGAGTGGGAGTTTAGTGCCTAAAGCACTTCTGAAAAATCCCACCTTTAGGCATCTAAATAGGGAGTTAGGCGCTTAACTTTAGGCTTCTAGTGTTGAAAATATGGCCCACTATCTTTTTTGACAATTGAGAAAATCTGCACAATTTTGTAGTTCTCATTTTATTAACATCTTTGTTTCAATGTGGCCTTTATACTGCCCAAAAAAGCAATGAAGCAGCATTACACTGAAAGATCCTATTAGAGAGAAATTCCATCCCATATAGGTAAGATGTGTTTCATATACATAGAATGGACTTCTTGGGCTTTTATGGTACTGTCAGGACCCAGGGGGTTTGAACCTCTGATCCACAGATGTGCTGTGAGCCGTTACACCTCAGTCCATCATGCAGCACCTGGGCCCAGTGTTTATGAAGGCCAACTAGGGCATAAGCCCTGCCTCTTTACTTTGATTGGGAGAGGTCCAAGACTCCTCATGAGCCACAGCCCCTATGAGGAGGAAACAAGAAATTGTTTATTCAACTAGGCTTCACCCTAACAGATGACTGTGCCTATTGTCTTGTCCTGACCTGTGTCTGCCTCCGAAATTCTGCCTGACAAACTAGCTGCCATCAACCGGGAACCACATGATATCTGGGTTGTGATGATGTCTGTGAATAACTGCATTTACATTCCCCTATGTCAGGCAAGAGTGGCAACCTGACAGCTATGCCACAACAACCCCATACACACACACCCGGCAGAGCACTTAGCTTGCTTTACAGCTTTACAATTGATGTCCTATCTTTTTCTGGTTGCACCGAATGCACACCATAATGCAAGCTTTCGTCATGTCCTTCATTGTGTGTGACAGAGCCAAGATGCCACATCACACACACCCTCTAGTCTACTTCAACCTCTGGACATGCTGTCTTGATCCTAGGCTGCTACTGCATTGGATTTTATTGTGGTACTTCCAGAATCTAACAGGTTTACAACAATCTGGATGGTGGCAGACCACCAAAATGGCCCACTTCATGCCCTGCACTGGTCTATCCTCTCCAGAAGGGTCAGCCCAACTATGGATTAGCCATGTGATCCATCTCCATGGCTTACTGGAGTTATCTGTAACTAATATTTGTTGCATAAAATTGGATGAGGCCAGCAGTGTTCCCTATAAGCTTGCCCATGTCCAGCCTCTCAGCAGAGAGTCAAAGGCTGCCCAGCTGATTAAGTAAAGTGCCAACAGCTAGGTTTTCTGTTTCTAGTGGTGGTGCGTATTTACATGTGCTTTGATACACATAACCAAATATATTCCACACATAGATGGAAAAGATTATAGGGAATTCTGCCTGATTCTTGCTGCCACCTGCTTCCTGCCATTAGATTCTGTCACCCAATCCAGACCTTCTGGTCTCTTGACTTGGCCTGATTGATAGTGAAGAGCTGATAGACCTTGGTTGTTGGGACGTGGAACTGAACTTGTGAGCTAAGGGGCTAAAGCCCATGTGCCTCTGCAGCATGAGTTAAAAGCAAATTGGCTCTCAGCGAAAGCTGTAGAGCAGCTTTCACTCTCCCTAAAGAATGGGTTACCCACTGCACTCTCCCTTGTCAGTGGCTTCAGTACTTCTGGGCTACACTAGTCACTGGCTCTTCATCCCTGCCCTACACTTTCTTTCAATTCTGATCTCCTGGGATTCTAACCTCACCTGAGTCCTAGTAATTGGCTCCTAGTCCCTCAGCCCATGCTTGATGCTCACCCCTGCATGCCAGGCCATTTGTGCTCCGCCTTGACACAATTCAGTCCTAAATGAAATATTCACTCAGTGGAGACATTATGGTGTTTTTAAGTCACTGATCTCCTCTAATTCATTCTCCTCCCATTGCAAGACACAAGTCTGAAGAGGGCGACCACCATACTCAAACCTGCAGCGCATGTCCATTGATAGACACTAAGAACCAAATACTTCCAAACTGTCTCTCCACAGCAACAGGCACGGAGCTGATTATTGTTAAATACGTGTAATGTGGCCACAGGCTCCATTGTGCTAAGTGCTATCCAGACTGACAGAAAAGGACAATCCTCAAATGACCCATGTTGGTGATTTGAGGTGGAGATTGTCACCCACTTCAACCCTGATTCAAGTGGAATCCTTTCTCCAAAAGCTGGTAGTCGCATTTATGGCTCTTGAGCTCTTGTTTGGATTTGCTTGTATGCTGGACTTGAATTAATTAATATATAGACCGTGTCCTCAGGTCTCATTACAGCCACCTCTTCAGTGGTACTGAGGTAGCTAAGATGCATTTTGATGAGCCCAGAGCATTGCTCGCTCTGCTCTGTTATGTGGGGCATTTGCAGCATTCCTTGGCTCTCTTGATGCAGAGGCTCTGAGATGTTGGTAAGTGCCCTTTGGGCAAGATTGTATGATCAGTAGACAATCAAAGCTGGAGTTAGATGTACTGCTACTGGCAGAGCCCAAATCAGATGCACTGTCTTCTTTCTTCCCTTTCTTCTTTTTCATCTGCACTGTCAGTGGTCCAAATTATTAACAAGACAAAGTAATAGAAATGTAAAGCCAACATCATGGAATATGAAATGTACATGTACCATAAATGCAATGGATCACATTTGTCCCTGGGTAAACCAATGAAACCATCAGTAGAATCATTTTTACCACATCAATTTAAGACGTTGATGTGCATGATATACCTTTCAGTTAATCAAACTAGATTACAAAATTAGTCAAGAAAGTAGAAGACAGGCTACATTAATGACAAATAGCCATTTCAATATTCACATCTTTTTTTAATTATAATTTTCTACCACTTTATACTGTAAATATTTTGTCTTTTATTTAAATCGGCAGCCCACTGAAAACCCCTCTGAAGCTACTGGATGTCTCTAACTGTTCCTTGAACCATGCTGACATGGCCTATTTAGCCAATAGCCTCCATTCTAACCACCTGGAAGTACTGGACCTCAGTGGGCACAATGTGGCTGATCTTTACCCATCAACCTTCTTCAAACTTCTCAACCACTGTTCTCATACTCTGAAGAGTCTCATCCTTGAGGAATGTAACATTGAAGACATTCACGTAAATATGTTGATTTTGAGTTTGATCCCCTGCAGGAAACTACAAGAATTCAAGTTCCTTGGAAATCCCCTGTCATCCCGAGCACTTAAATGCCTCTTTAATGTTTTTAGTGAGTTGCCAATGCTGAAATACATTGAGTTCCCAGTTCCTAGGGACTGCTATCCTAACAGTGTCACCTATCCAATTGATGATGCTGATCTTTCAAAATTTGATCACCAAAAATATGAGAGAATAGCAGAAGAACTTAATATTGTTTTACTTCATGCAAACCGGGAGGATATAAAGGCTTCAACACCACTCTTTGGAGGCTACGATGCAGCCATTCAAGAGACTGGTAATGAACTTGGATCTTGTTTGCTGAAATCTTTCAAAGATACTTTAGAAAATTTTAACAAAGCTCTTCAAGAAATAAATTAAAATGTAGCGGTGATGACTTGCTTTGCCCAAAGGAGAGTAAATTCAGTGTACACACTGAACTTCCAAACACTGCATCTTCATTTCTGCTTTTGCTGATTTCTGGACTAGACTTAGCTTTCTTTATTTGGAGCTACTGTACAGTTCACATGTTTTTAACTGTGCTATGATCTGTCATGTGTTAATGTAAAGGCCACTTTTTGAGAACTTTAATCACTTCATACTTTCCACAAAAGAACAGATTTGGTTCTAGTTACTGCAGTAAAACAATATATGATTGTGTTTCATCTGCAGTATGACTTAACCCGACACTAGCTATATTTACCTAATAATTATTTGGTAAATTTGTGCCATCCTGCAAATAAACACATTGAGAGGGACCTTATGAGGAACTAAACTCACCAATTTTCTCTTGTTACCCACACAAAATACTCACACTCTCTAGGGGCACCCACCCTTACCTGTTCCTAGGGCTCAGGTGTAACCTTTCCAATATAGGAACTCACCCATATCTTTCTGCAGGCTTAGGCATAACCTTACACTTTGTGGGCTTGAGGGGTCTTTACCAGTGGAAGAGCCTTACACAGTAATATCCTATTTAATCTCTATTTATTAACAATCATCAAAAACAGATGCACACACCAGGCATGCAGTGCTCACCATTCCCAATAAGACAGATGAACTTGCCTTGAAGGAAAGTCAGGATCAGGTCCATCTGGGGGACTCCAGTTTCACCACAGTGTCATTGGCACAGGGTTGAGGTCTGGCAGCTCTGATCTTGGAGCTGTGTCCTGGAGTTGGTTTCCAAAAAAATTCCTTTTGGGCCCCAGTTTATATAGTGGAACCTGAGTCCTGCTTAGCTATACCTTAACCAATTATTTTAGTATAATTTTACTAATCATAACAGAATTACCTAACCAATCATACCCCACCACCTTGGTTGATTTACACCTAGCAAAATTAATTATACAGCAGACAGAAACAATTAAAAACCAGACAGAGATCATACAGCCAAACAATAGGAAAGTGAAGACCATAATCCTAAAATGAGGATTCCACAACCTCAACTATTGATAAACAGTTTCTTGCCAGACCTGGTGGATTACTGGGAGTAGGCAGCTGCCTTTTTCCTCCACCTGGAGCTGGAGCATGTGAGGTGAGGTTGTTCCAGTGAGGCTGCCCCAGCTGGAGCAGGCCTTGTATGGATGTTGCTTTACTCCAGCTGGAGCTGAGGCTCCCTGCAGTGCTATTTTTAGTACCGAGATCCTGCGGGGACCAGGACCATGGTGGGTAGCCTCTGCTCCAGTCCCAGCATGCGGTCCTGCCCCAGGAGCAGCTGCAGCCAGGCTGTGGGAGCTTCTGGGGCTGGCACCATGGTACTAAAAATAGCACCACAGCCCCGGCTCCAGCCCCTGCAAACTGCTTTCCATGTCAAAGGTAGAATGTTAGGGAAGGGGCAGGAGAAGAACTAAGGGGAAGGTGTGTTAGGACAGGAACAGGCTTGTGCTGAGGGGAGAGAGGGGGCCAGCGCAGGAGAAGAAAGGAGCAGTTACCAAAGGGCAGTATGAACGAGAGACAAATGCCATGGGGCCAAAAGGAGACAATGAGGAAAAGAACAGGAGACAGGTGGGGAGGGAAAGTGTCAGTGGGAGTGGGAGAAGGGAGGGGGACAGGATGATGCTGGAAGGGGAAAGGGGAGGGACAATGGGGTGAGAGGGAGGATGAGGAGAGGGGAGCAATCACTGTCAGGAAAAGAGGGATTGAAAGGAGAGGTGGGCATAAGGAAGGCGGGGGATGGAGTAAGTCATATGTGACAGCACAGACTGTCATGAGGAGAACTGGGGCAGAGAGTAGCAAGGGGGTGGGCACCAGGGAGAAAGAAGGTAAGGAGGGCAGGGGCAGTGAGGGAGGGGGGAGGCACCAGGAAGGTGTAGGGGCAAGGGAAACTGCAACTGCCAAGGGATTGTGGGGGTGAAGCAGAAGGGCAGACATGTGGAGGGGAGGAACCGGCACCAGAGGAGAGAGGCAGGGCAGATGGGTAGAGGGAGGTGTTAGGAGAGGAGATGGGGAGGGGTAGCTACAGATGATCAGAATGGGGCTAGAAGAGGAGCGAGCACAGGGGGAAGAGAAGGGGTGGGTGCAGGGGTCAAGGAGGATGGGGCGGGGAGCAGAACCCCAGAGGGCTGAGGGGAGTGAGAAGGGCAGGAGCCAGGACAGCAGAGGAGGGTGAGGGGTGGGGAGGACCAGCAAGCACTAGGGGAGCAGATGAGGTGAGGGGAGTGTGGGAGACATGGCAGCAGAGGGAAAAGGGAAAGGTAGATAAGATATGTATTAATAATTTGGGGGTCATAGTGGCGCACATCCAAACAAGTGCACATGAACACAATACTGGTTCTCAAGACAAAACTCACTCTGCTTATTGGTGGAAAATCTTAGAGGGAACACTGAATGTGAGTATGTGAGTGCAAGCTTCACAGCTAATGACTGCTGCTCTTCAATCTGGCTGCAGAGGAAGGCTTGGGCCTTCTAATATGGCTATAGAAAAACTATATTGTTACACTCCTCTGACAAAGTTGTATCCAATTTTGGTTGAGGGTCCCCACCCCCATGGCAGAGGTCAGGATCCCAATCTCCAAATCCTGGACATCTCCAAGAATTGAGAGGCTTTCAGGAGACCTGCTGGAGGCAGAGGGCCATCCCTGCACAGGTCCTTCTCTGCTTTAGCTTTCTCCATCTCATCTCCATTATAGCCTCACTGCCCTATTCATGCAAGATCCAGAGTAGCATGGCTATAATACAGATGAGCAGCCTGAGCTGGTAGCAGACTTTGGAGCCCACTTTTAAGAAGTTCCACAATGCAGAGTTGTCTCCAATCAAATGATAATTCAGCTCCTACCTATATTAATTCCTGAGTATGTGCCCCAGAGAGGTTGAGGGGGTGAGAGTAAAGATCATGTGCCTTCATGTAGAATTTTTTTCTTTCCATGTGTGGATCCCAGACCCCATAATAGGGTCTCCTTGAGGTTTGGAGGAAGAGTTGGCAGGATGTTATTGAGACAGCTGACACTCTCATATGTGGATGCATGAGATTCACAAAGAGTTCCCACCTCAGTTTCATCCTGGAGGATAAAAAGGCCCTAAATCCAGTAACTACATGACTGCATTCTGCAACATCATCTTCATATGAGCAATGCTGAGCTCTTCAGAGCAGCCCTCAGATGACAAGTGGAGAATAAGTTCCAGTTAAGCTTGTTTTTCTGTGTTTCCTCTGTATGATGAGAATACAGAATAATTAAATACAACTATAAAAAGCACAAGGGCATCTACTTCTGACCTACTTTTTTGAGATTTACAAGTCTCTGGCCTTTCTTTCCTGCACATAAGCAACAAATAGTTTTGTATCCATGGTCGACATATTAATTCATTTAAATCCAGCATGCATGCAAATAAAAAAGAAAAAGAAGAAAAGAAAAGCTGTGTGGTTCCTCACCCCATGCAGGAGGAGCAGCCACCTCCATATCTACCTTCACTGAGTATGGGTTCAGGAATACATGAGGACAGAGGTAGATGTGCATGACTAAATGGGAACGGGTATGGGACATCCAGGGTGTGTCTAGACTACATGGCTCCGTCAACGGAGCCATGTAAAGTAGTTTACTCAACATAGTCAATGAAGTGGGAATTTAAATAATCCCCGCTTCATTAAAATAAAAATGGCCACCGCACTGTGCCAACAATCAGCTGATCCGACACAGCGTGGCAGTCTAGACACGGGAAGCCTTTGTCGACCGCTCCTGTAAACCTCATTCCACGTTTCACGAGGCTTACAGGAGCGGTCGACAAAGGTTTCCCTTGTCGACCGCACCACGTCTAGACTGCCGTGCTGCATTGGATCAGCTGATTTTCGGCACAGCGCAGTGGCCATTTTTATTTTAATGAAGCGGGGATTATTTAAATCCCCACTTCATTGACTATGTTGAGTAAACTAATTTACATGGCTCTAATGATGGAGCCATGTAGTCTAGACACACCCCCAGGGTGTACATAGGAGAAGCTTCCCAATTCCATAACAATTGCTCCTCCTCCCCTGCAAATAAAGCCTGTTCCATACTTCTCCCACCCTGTGATGAATGGGAGGGGTACTACCCTTTTCTGGACATTCCAGCCTTTTAGTTAACTAAATTTTCTGTAAGAGTTAAAACCATAAAAAGTGGTTCTTAGAGAGTATCCAGAAATTCTAGGTAAGCAGGAAATGAGTTGGCAGGAAGTCGGGATACCAATGAAAATAGAGCAGTGACCTTCCTGTTCTAGTCTTTGTGTGACCAGAGGAGAACTGGGAGACATGAAATGAGAAGGGCTGGCCTTACCATGAGGTGAACTGAGGCGGCCACCTCAGGTGCCAGACCGTGTGGGGGGGCTCCACTAGGGCCCAGAGTGTAGAAATTGTGTCTGCTGCTGTTGCATATGTATTCTCTCTGCTCTGAAAGTTGTGTTACTTAAAATTTTTGAACAAGGCATTTTAACTTGTTAGTTCTCCTTTATTAGGGTAGGTAGCAGAGCAGTACCATGAGAGGAATAGAACAGGAAGAAGGCAGAATTGAGATCTTTCAAAGTTTTGGCCCAAGCGAGGGGATATGGGGGCTGGCCCTGGAATTCAGCCCAGGAACAAGACATAGAGGATTCAGTGACATCCATTCCTTGAGGACTAAATCCAGGAACACAGATATATGACTAGAACAGGGAATGTTTAGTCAGACACAATCACGTTATTTTCTTTATTTTGGGATTTGTTGGATTTCTCTGTGCTGAGTACATGTAACTATCCTCTTATAGTATAACTTCCAAACTGAATCCCAGGAAAGCAATTCTCTGTGTTTTAATCTTTCTTTTTTCAGTTGCTCTGTAACACCTACCATCCAAGTACTGTTTCACCGAGTATGTTTTTTTTTTTGTTAATTAAAATCACCTTTTAAGACCATGATCTGATTCCTCTTTCCTATAAGGCAGGAGGTTCTTTGTTCATGTGCCTAAGATTGAAAAACCAGCTATTAAGAAAAATTACAGGTTTTTTCAACCTTCCAGAGGAAGATGTAAGGACCTTGAGGGTACCCCACAGGAAGAAATTCCCAAATGTGTTTTCCTGTGTTTTCAAAAGGGTTTTTGCATTTGGGTGCTGGCAGCAATACCAATCCAAGGCCAGGGAATCTGTGATCTTGAGGAGTTTTTATACAGAAGCCTTTAGTGGGAGGGCATTTTAAAGTCTTTTTCGGGCCCCCACCTTCTACACTTGAAGTGCCAGAGTAGGGAACATTCTTGACATATCCACACCCAACAACCCTCTAAGTTCACACCCAGGCCGTTTTCCAGCAATTACTTCTCTGTCCCTCAGTTTCTCTGTTATCCTTAACTTCCCTAAGCCTTTGCACTGCTTCTAAAGGGTGAGGAAAATAAATTTCTGTATTGTAGTTTTAATGCATTGTTATTCAAAATTCTGTATTACTATGCCTAGACAGAAATCTGTCTTAAAAAAAAATTCTGAATCTTTTTTGTTGTCTGTATTGTTACAGATTAGCTGATAGGCTTTTTGAAAAAAAATTACCAAAATAATTGCAATTATTATATTCTTATTTTGACAAATAAACATGCAGAATTTTAAAATATTGTGCACAGAATTTTTAATTTTTGGTGCAGAAATTCCACATGAATAGGTTGTACTGAAGGCTTAGCATCAGTAAGTCACCTTCGTCACCCCAACTGTTCTTAGTTCCTGAAAGAACTGCTGAAACCCTCCCACAAAAGTAGAACACAATCACACATACACCA